TTTTTTTTTTTCTTTTCCACCTGCTCAAGGGTTAAGTCTTTTTCTTATCTGCTATGTTTTCCCTCAGCTGTAGGGAAGAGATTTTTAGTGGAGTAAAGATAAAATAGAAAATGCACTTCTGGGTGCCTGTATTTTGCGGTGTAGACACAGGAGTCAGATAGAGATTAAAGTGTTTAAAATGTCAGCTTTATTGCTGGTAAGCTAATCAGAGAACGTAGCTTTTGCTTTGATGCCAAAAGGACTTATTAACTACTTTGCCCTGAATCAGAAGGACTTCCCTGCTGTATTGGTTTTCTAATGATGTGTAACAGATTATCACAAGTGCAGAAGCTTAGAACAATACACGTTTATTGTATCCCAGTTCTATAGGTCAGAAATCTGGGCAGGCTTGGCTGGGTGCTATGCTCAGCATATCTTGGGGCTGGGCTCTGGATCTGGGGAGGAATCTGCTTCCAAACTCGTTCAGGTTTTGACAAAAATCAGTTGCCAGTGGTTGTAGGACTGAGATTCTTGTTTCCTTGCTGGTTGTCAGGTGGGGGCCATTGAGAGCTTCTAGGAGTTAGCTGCGTTCCTTGGCACATGGCCCCTCCATGTTTAAAGCCATCATGGAATCCTTCTTGAGTATTGTATCTCTCTGACTTCCCTCTGCCCCTCTGCCACCAGCTTGAGAATGGTGCCCTGCTTTTTAAGGGCTCATGTGACTAGATCACATGATAATTCCCTGTCTTAAGAATAACTGTGTCATATGACACAACATAGCCATGAAAGCAATAGCTCATCCTACCAGAGGTTCTGGGGATTAGGGTGGGATATTTTCATGGGCCATTTTGGAGATTCTGTCTCTTCTAGTCATTGGCAGCACAGGCCTCCTTAACGAGAGCAGGGTTAGCCCCACTAAACTTGCTATATCATGGAGAGGAGAACAAAGTATGCCTCTATGTAGCAGATGGTTTCAGATGGGAGGGGAAGGGGCCTGAGGTGGAGGAACTCAGTCCCTTCTGCTGTGTCACTTGTCTGATTGAACAGTGGAGGTCGAGGCCTGGAATGTTACTCTGGGTGAAGTCCTTCCACTTAGAACATGAGGCCAGGAGAGTGGACATTGCCCCAGTGCTAATTAACAATGGCTTAAAAATTCAACACTTACTTACCCTGGAGAGGGAAGAGCCTAGAGGAAGGTTGGTGCGTCAGTTCCTTAAAGGCAGGTTAAGGACTGTGGTACCAATTCTGATGTGTGGATGTTCCCCCAACACCACCAAGCAATTCTTTGACACCTAAATTCCCAACTGCAAGGGAAATTTAAAAAAGTAAGGATCTGACAAAGGACAGTGGGATTTCCTACAATTCAACTCAATTCTGACTCTATCTACCTGGAGAGCATGTCAGTTCAGTTCCCACAGGTGAAGGGCTCAGTTCCACAAGATCTCCCTTCACTTCAGATGCTGGTCACAAGTCCAGGCCGTTTCCTGTGCTTCTGACCACATGGCTGTAGATTAGGGGTTCCCATGACCCCATCCTTGAGTTCAATAAATCTGCTAGAATGTCTCTGGGGAAGTTGGGGCCTAACACAGTAGCACATAGAAGCTTTCTGGTTCACCAGCCTGGAAGCACCCTGAATCCCCTCCCTTTGGATTTTTTTGGAGGCTTCATTACATAGACATGATTGATTCAATCATTGACCATTGATGACTGATTCAACCTCCAGTTCCTCCCCTCTCCTCAGAAATCCCACCAGGGCGTGGGACTGAAAGTTCCAAACCTCCCCCATCCTTAGGTGATCCAAAAGTCATGTCATTCACATAACAAAAAACACCTTGGTTACTCTTATCACTGGAAATTCCAAGGGTTTCAGAACCTCTGTACCAGGAAAGACCAAATTGTACCCATGTTTTGTTCTCTGTTTCTGCTCTGCTGTCCTTGGCATGTTGGCTTTTCCTCTTCAGACTTGTTACTGCATGGCTTGCATGACGACTGCCTCAGGACCACATATGTTTCCACTCAACCATATTTAAGGCAGGACAAAAGATCTCCTTGTATTGGGAGAACTTTCCCAGAAGTTACCCTGTAGACTTCCCTCTGTCTCGCTGACCAAAATGGGGTCACATGACCATTTCCAACTGCAAGGGAAGTTAAAAAAGTAAGGATCTGACAAAGGAGAGTGGGATTTACTGGTTTAGACCAGTAGTTCTCAAAGTGTGGTTCCCTGGACCATCAGCATCAGCATCCTCTGGGAACTTGTTAGAATTGACAATTCATAGTGAAGTTAGAGCCCGGCAATCTGTGTCCACCAAGCTTTCTAGGTGATTCTGATGCCTACTAAAGTCTCAGAACTCTTGGCACAGAGGACTCATGCTTCATCTCCTGGGGCTGATGAACAAAATGAGAATTCTAGTAGAGAAGAAGAAGTTGGGCTAAACACACGACAGCATCTGGCTCAG